GACCCTTCAACTTAAATAATTTGTGTTTATTTCTTTCATAGTTTACCATTTAAACTCCCTGTTAGCAAATAAGCTTTATTATCCTAACGATGTAGTGTTTAGGCTTAACACCGTTATCATAATGCTGAGCCTTGTTTAATTTAGATGTACTTGATTTTTTCACAACTTTAACAATATGATTTATACAATCTACAGTTATTTTGCGGTATAGTTTTTTAATCAATCCAAAACTGCCATCACACTTGAATTTAATATGTTTAGGTATCATAAAATTTAATTTGATACTTTTATAATAATCGCAAATTACTAAATAGAGGTAAATCAAATAGTGGCATTATTTTTATTCTGATCACTAACATTATCACAAGTAATCTTTAAGCACTTTTCACCTTTATTCAATTTCTTAATCTCATCAAATATCAGGCTTAGTGTGCCATTAGAGCCTTTGCCAATAATTTCACCTTCAACGAGAATGTAATTAATTTGTTCACGTACTGCTTCATCTTGAATACCAAATAAATGTACTTTACGTGAACTGAGATAATAAATCTTACTTACTTACTGATTAGAATGGGAAACGTGAACATTTTACGCTCAATCATAACTGTAATGAACAGTAATATTAACGTGACAATAATCAGCTTTACCTTTATTATAAATGCTTGTCTACTAATTTTCTTTGTTGTTCTACTAATTTCGTATTTTTGTTATAATAATTTCTTTCTAATTTAGCCTTAACTAAATGTTCCTTGTATTTTTTCAGTAAATCTTTTGCTTTCTCTTCTTTACGAGCATTATGCTGTAAGCCATTCTGAAAATGTTAGCATGTATCACATAAATCTGTTTTTAGATTTATAATTTGAATGTAAGGTGTTAATTAGTGTTATAATTTGCGAAACGCATTATATTTTAACAATTTCAATGTGCTATCATTTTTGAGATTTGCAATAAAATCACGATAGACCAATTTATAACTCGTTTCAGCTGGCAATAGTATAAGCAATTGGGTAATTTGATTAACGTTTCTACTAAGACTTAGTAATCCATGAATTTTTGCATAATTTTTGAGAAAATTCTTTACGGCAGTAGCAACAGTTATGTCAATGGTTATTTTGATTTTTCATCATGATACTCGTTTTATGTTACCATAAATGCATGATATTATATTATTTGTTGCTAGATAGTTTCTGACATTTTCAAAGTAAGTATGGCCAATTCTTAACATATTAAGATATGTTTTCTGACAAAGAGGCGTATTGCGATCCTAGTAGTGAAAAGTTCTCATATTAGTACGCATTTTATTTTTAAAACATCGACTAGCGATTATTTCTCCTTCATTTATTACTTTCAGCTGGGCCATTAAAATATGTCTTGTTCAGATTTAGAGAGAGCTTGAAACGCCTTATGTAATTCAGCAAAATTTTCTCTCAGAATTATTTTTGAACAACCACAGTTGCAACCTATCTTCAAGAAACACATGGCTTTTTCATATTTAGTTGAACCATTATAATTATAATTTTTCATATACAGGTATTCCTATATATATTTTTTATCGCTTTAGTGATATTTATTTTAACAATTTCTTAATAAGAACATAACATGTAAATTATAAATTGACCAAAGATAGCAAATTTTGTTGTACAAGTTTTTATTGAAAATTTCAAAGATATTATCAATGAGATTAGAATATAAATGGTAATAAAATAATTCATTTATGAATATTTCCCTTTTCGTGAATAATAAATTTTATCACCTATATTGTAATAGTAATATTCTTATAATCCTTCGCTTATCATCCTCATCTATAAACTTATCAAGAACATCCATTGATATTACTAACAATTTCTCTAATGCATGAGTAAGTTCATGTGTTAAACATGCATAAACATCAAGAGACAGTCCAAACAATGAAAATGCAACTTGGAAATGATTGTGAATTGCGCTAATTTCTGATGCACTGGCAGATTCTCCTGAAGGCATCAAGCGTACTTTCTTAAAAAAGTCATCTTGTGTAAGATATTTGTTACCAACTTCGCTGATGATACGCTTGAGCTGTGTGGCTTCCCTTTTAGTATGTAATGTTAGTGAACTTAGTATCTCAAATTGCTTAGATTGTGAACGAAGCTGCATATAAATAGATAAAAATGAAATATACGGTAAATCTTTAATGCCAATACGAGCAGGTGATAAAATGCTTATTACTGAAGACGAGTATGTATCATCCCATGTATCATTTTGTAAATTTTTCACTTGAATCAAAATGTAAGAGATTCTGTTAGCATCTAATGAAGTATCAGCTTTGCCCATAAATATTGGTATAATAATATTAGCACCTTTCTCACACTTTTTGCACAAGATAGCAGCACCATGGATAAAAAATTGCAAGAGTTTTTGTCTACTTGATGTATACGTCACTTTGATGAAATATGTAAATCTGATTAGAGCATTGCATAATGTTGACTGTATGTATTCACTGTCTTTCTCATCTTCAAAGTAAGAAGCCAACTCTTTATATGCTTTAGCTACAAGCAATGTTTTAAGAAAATCTCCTAACGTCATCGAAAGTGAATACTGATTGCTAACAGTAAGAATGGTACTTGTGATACGCTTATTGTAAGTAATATCTTATGCTTGCAAAAACAAAAACTGAGCAATAAGCTTCTCGTGATAGCCACCAAACATAACACCTTTTCTGAAAGTAGAGACAAGAATATTAAGCAGTTCTAAAATATTAACAGATGGGTTATTAATTATTCGTAATGTTATTTCAGCAAGGATAGGTTCCAATGGTAGACTAGTTGTAATTCTATCCCGCTCTTCAGAGATATGAAAATAAAGCCACATGTGACTTGAGATTAACTGAAAGAAAAGTGAGATTCATGGAGAGACATCAATATATAACTTCAAACCAAAAATCGATAGGGTTTCTGCCGCACTAAATGTTTTTCTGTTTTTATCTTTTTTCTATGAAGTGAAGTTAGTTCTACTAATAATCTTATCCCTTGCTAAATCAATTATACGATCTGATGTAAGAGCCATATTATGAGACTGTGCTTTAAACAAAGAGCCCTATAAAGGTCTTTCTCGTTGAAACAGGCATGCTAGATCTTTAGCTTTTCCAGGTGTTTGAGGATCCTTTGCATAGATGTCAATGATGTCTGAAATATAGAATGGAGGGAAAAGCTTTTCTCTAACTTCAGAAATCCTCAGAGATAGGTTAAACTCTGACTTTGGTGCAAAATTTGTAATTCAAGAAATTGTGTCAGTAAATATAGCAAATATTCCTGAGTGAAAGGGTAAATATTTCAAAGCATGCCGCAAATAATAGAAGTACAATCTACCATTTTTGATATTTTTTGTAGTAATTAGATGCTAAGCTTCGTCAAATATAAATAAAATTTTTAACATTCGAATATTATCAGTCATTTGCATCTCAGTGCCTAATGTGTGTTTATTGCTAATCAGAGATTAGACGACACTGATCCAAATATTCAGTTCTACTTACTGAAATAACATTTTCTTAATTTCATTTATTCGCAACTTAATAGCTTTTCAAAACTTCTCTTGCGTCAATTTTGTATGGTTTTGAAGCTATGACTTATAATCACTCTCAAATTGCTGCGAATGCTCAACACATGCCATAAGATATGCTAAGTATGTATCACAAATGATAATACTATTTGCATCTTTTGATTTATCAAGCAGTTTGTTTGCAATGTAAGATTTTGCAGGATAGCTGCTAGAGCTCTTCTCACGAAGACAGTAGTAAACAGCTTTCACATTTTCAGCTATCTTATGTAAAAGCTTTGTCTTTCCAGTACTACTTTCCTGAATCAAAGTTGTATATAATGCATAAAATTCAGAGTCCATTTGGTATTATTTAGCACAGAAATCGATAAATTTGACAAAGCGTTCTTCAAGTTTATCTGGATCTCAGAAAGATAGATCAAATGCTTGTTCTACTATCCTTTTTTCTGCTTGCTCCCATTTACTCTCTATTATATCAGCTAAACGTTTTGAGGAACTTTTAATTTATAAAAAGTAGTAAGTCATCAGAAAACATTATATTAAACAGAAGATTGTAAGTAACAAAAAAATTAAAATGTGATTAAACTCAGCTATAACACAAAACCTCCTAACATATATTGTAAAAGCATTCACAATCCAAACACGTATTGTAATGCATTTGAACTATTCTCTCTCTGTTGTCATATTATAACAGCATTCAAACTATTCTTCCACTATTGCTCCTACTCTACTTAACTTAAATGTATCATATCTTGCTTATTTGCCTTTTAAACAAGTTTACGTATAATCCAATCTTTGCTATAACTCTGCTCTATGTTCTAACTCTAACGCATGTCATAATACATTTCAACTATCCTTCTAATAAACGTGTATTCATTACTTACTTACCTTGTTATTTTTTATATGCTTCTTTGATATCCTTCTCAGTAGCATTAAGGTTATCTTTCAAGTATTTAAAGGTGAATTCAAAGGTGAATTGGTCATTCATGTTATCAAATTTATGAGTATGAAAGAGAAAAATGTGTGCATGTTTATATCTTGCTTTGCTGTGCTCTATAGGTGTATCACATTGTGGAACAATTGTATGCATTAAATCAGATTACCTGATTATTGCTCCTGTGATTGACCTCTGTTATTGCATATTTTTGGAAAGTAAACGATTCAGCAACTTATATAGCTGCAGTTTGAATTCATATAGCTGGGAGCTATATGAAAATACTATTTGTTGTCATTTTAAAACTTCAAATATTTAATTGTGAAAAAAAATGAAATAGTCAGAGACATTTATGATAATTAATACACTTAATCTGTTAATGTAATCTTTATTACTCTTTATAAGTAACAAGTTATAAAGTACATATTCACTAGAGCGATTGTATGGGAGAAAATATTCAGACCCAAAGCCATTGATGAGTATTTTTATACTTTAGTCGTTCTAATGAAATCAATTCTATACATTATTATAAATGCTATTAATGTCTACATTTTCCTTCTTCTTTTCTTTATCTACCCAACTTTTAAGCGCTTTGATCATTTTTCTCGAGAATTTTTGTTAATGAAGACCTTTAGAATAAAAGTAATAATGCTTTTTTTTTCACGTGATTTGTGGCATTTTATAACTACTTTGTTAAATAAAACTGAGTCTAACTTAGGTCTTTTGATAGAGATTTTAAAATCTTTTCACAAGTATTCGACATTTAGCAAATATTTTTGCTCACAGAGCAGTTGTCTAGTTCAGGATTTTAATTTGATTGGGTAAATTGTTACTTTGAGCATTTGAGTTATAATATAGGAGTTGATTAGTTATAAGCAAAGGATTGAAAACAAGTCCGATCAACAACCCAAAAATGAATTTGATAGTAAAATCAAACATTTTTTTTACTTTTTTTATGGGTTAAATTATTGACAAATTTGATGTTGAAAAGATTTTGCAATTTAATTTTTCTAAGACAAAACTGAGTGCAGGTCGTATTATTTATAATAAGCTTATTAGATGTTGATCAGAGTTCTTACTGATTATAAATATGTTACAGTTACAGATTCTAAAACAGTTAATGCATTGATCAAATAATCTTTATACAAAATGAAAATAAATGCACTATTAGTCGCCTAAAGTTTGAATCAATCGCTATTCTAATAAATTTATTCATGACTCATTTATCATTATCTCTAATGCGGTAATTATAATGATTTGCTAATATAAATTGTATCAGATTTCATATCTATCGTCATTCTTACTCAAATTATATATAAAAATTCATAAAAAATTATTGATAATTATTAATAATAATAAAAAAAGCAGATATTTGCTTATGCTTTTATCTTATGTTTCTTTCTTGGTTTATCATAAGTTAGAGTTAAGGTTCATTTGTTGTTTAGTATTTTTCATTTTTTTTGATAAATTTCATAAGTAATTTTTTCTTGATTTAAATATTTTTGGAGTGTTTGAGTATTATTAATTTTAAAAACGTATGGAGAAATTTTTTCACCTTGAACTTTCTTTAAAATACTTTTAATAGTGCTGTAATTCTTGGGTTCTATGGTGGATTTGATGTAAATTAGTTTTATATTTATATTTTTATATAGAGATAATCCTATATTAATCCTATTATAGTTTATCTTCATCACATTCTAGTATAATAAAGTGAACATTAAAATTAACAAGTCCATAAGTTATGAATGAGCACTATTATTCTCTTCGAAATGTCATTAGTCAATTTAGTTAACTTTCAGTCACACCAGCCTCTTATTTCAGAATGTTCACTTTGTCTAGTTTTATTACAGAATGCCTTATATATCCTTTTTGAATATACTGCTGTAGAAACAGAATATCTACAATAGCATTAATAGCTTTAATGTATGTATTTAAACTATAAAGATTATTCTCTTATAAATCTATGAGGATAACATCTTTCATTAAATGAGCATTACGTTTTTCTTTTAGTCTAATATCATAATTATATATAGTTAACTCTTCTAATTTAGTATTATCAACTAAATGAAATCCCTAACATTGGTTATGCAAAAAACTGAGAAGTATCATGAATCTATTATCAGATTTAGCTTTATCAACTTAGCATCAATCAATCTAAGATTGTGTATATTTACATTTGAAATCACACATTGTGTAGTAATCAAATTTATTAAAATCATTGCCAGATGTGCTGTAGTAAAAGTAATGATTGTGTTCAGCATCTACTTCATATGAATATTATGATAATCGTCAATATTTAAGATCATGGTCTTCTCTATATATTATGCAAGCGTAGAATCAACAGTTTTAGCATGATTATCAGAGATGATAGTTTTATACTACATGATTATTCAGGATATTGTAGTTACATCTAGATTAGTAAGAGTATCTATAAAGGTATTAGAAATACCAGTGAAATCTAAGTATATTGTCAAATCTATCTTTGCATTATTAACAAACTTATTATGAATTCTGCAAAGAAAGTAGCATATAATAGGAGCTGCTTTTTCGCCTGTGCTTGTAATATTTCATTTTTAAAGGTTAAATAAAATATATAATTCATCAAAAAAACCTTTAATCTTGTATTTTCCCCTTCTATAACTGTACAAAAATCATCAAACAAGTAGATTATTTGTTTTTTTCTTTTTATTTTCACAAATATATAAAATTTTAGTTATTATTTCTATTATCTCAAAGAAGGATAAAATAGAAGGTGGAGGTAGCAGTAATGAAAATGGAGGTAAAACTAAAGGTAGAGGTGGAGACGGAAGTGAAAGTTCTATATTAGCTTGAGCATATTATTAAAATGTAAGTATATGATTTACCAATATTTCATTATAATAGCCTAAGCAGATTGTATTATTTACTTGTAAATAATTTGGCAAAGTATTGTTAGTTTAGCCCTTTGCAATTACATACTCAGTTACTTTTTTCCATTTTATTGATTTCTAACTTCAGCATATTGTAATTATACATAGTCTAGTATTCATATTACCTACTAAGTAAAGTACCTTTAAAATTGGGATTATTTTAGGATTATTTTGCATAGCGAATGTAAATACACCTTTGAAGCTAAGAGAAAAAATTTTTTATATTTTTATATATGAAATATTACATTCTCAAAAAGTACTCTAAACTGTATAAATAATATACTAACTAATTAATTAGGATCGAACAATCATGTAAAAGTCCTCTCATGAAGTTATGATATAAATTTAATCATGTGATAAAGATAAATTGTTCAACTTTTGAGAATGCTTTGACTTCTTTGTGGGAGTTCATAATTTGTTTAATTCTATCATTGTTTGAGAAGACTCACTGGTACCAGCTATTTTATCTTTAAAGGTTTTAGCCTTCTTGACAAGAATACTTGTCATTTGTCCTACACATTTTATAAAATTCTATTAAATTTTATTATTAATGAAAACTTGATAGCTTATAAAACAAACTAATCAAAAAAAAAACAATGTATCCTGTAAACTAAAAATCTTTTACATAATAGGACAAGCTCACCTACATCTGAATCTTTTACTGATAAAGATTCTGATGTCTAATCCCAAAAATCGTACAGAATTCTATTGACTTAAAAAGAATATAAAATTGAATTCTTATTCTGATTATTTGAAAAAATGGTATAAATATCAAAGCCAACCTTTTTTGTAAGTTATCTGGTAGAGGATTTCTGCCACTCTGCTCAATAATTTGAGTTTTAATTTTGATATATTGTGCTTTTGACATTTTGATCATATTGACAAAGTTAGTTTTTACCTTATTATGATTGTCCTTATAGGTTAACCCATTATTCTCACCAATACCAGCCTCTATAAATGAGCTTTACATATAAAATCTTATGTAAGATTAACTATTTATTTTCATAACCAAAAAAGATAACATATCTAATATAAGAAATTTATATCTTGCCAATGCATTGAGTTTCAGAATGCTCTATTTTATCATAATGGTTTGCATCAGAATAGTTTTCACTGTTATAAAAGAGAAAAAATGATACTTAATATAACAGACAAAGTAGTCAAGAACGAATCAAATTTCTTACTAAGTAAATATAGTTTGTGGAGTTTTTGCATATGGTCTAATTATGAACATGTCAATAGTTTATTCAGATTGAGAACTTCCAGGAAAATAGCTGATCTATGTATATCTATTATGATACTATTGTTTAAATTTATAATAAATGTAGATGACCAAATCATGCATATAGATGAAAATTTACATATCTTCAATATATTTTCTATATATATCATTTTTTTATCATTAGCATCAACATTTTTGAGAAAATCATTAATTGTGTTTTTATCTGTAACATTCTATTGTAAAGTAGACATTAAATCAGAATGTTATATAAATAATT